TAACTTTTTAGAAACTAGAGAAAGAAATATCACTTTTTAGAATCAAGAGAAAAGATAATCACTTTTTTAGCATCTATAGAAAGAAATATCCCTTTTTTAGAATATACAGAAAAAATAACACTTTTTAAGAATCTGGTGAAAAAATATCAAGTTTTTAGAATCTACTGAAAGAAATATCATATTTTTTAGAATATACAGAAAATATCAAGTTTTTGAGAATCTTCAGAAAGAAAATTTGAGAAAGAAATATCACATTTTTAGCATCTAGAGAATGAAATCCATTTTTCAGAATCTAGGGATAAAAATATCACTTCTTTTTGATTTCAGAGTGTTGTGATGATATAACCCAACTTCCCCATTCACGATAATGGACGGACTGGTTGCCGATTAAGTACGACCACAGCGGACAGTCGAAAAGTCTTCGTTTGTTAACACCTATTGAGGTTAGCATACTCCCGACTCTGTCTCTGTACTTGACACACCTACATCCGATTATAAACTTATTATTGAAAACCAACACTCGGGTTACTTTGTTTATTATATCTTGCACGAGATATAACAGCTGGCGACGAGGATTGTGCAACGTACTTAAAAAAAAAAAAAATGTATATATATATCAGATTACGCTGAACGGATTTCGGAAGCAGTTTCCCAAGTCAAAGATATCAGTTGACGCCGATTAGGATTTCGAAAGCGGAGTCACAAGTCAAAAGGAAACTTTTTGAAAAGTAAGAAAATTTTTACTGTTAAATTGTGATTTGAAAAATATATATTGAACCGCGACGCAAATGCGAGCCGGTCTAATAATTGATTATTCAAGTAAAAATTACGGGTTGTAAAAATATTACGGCTGTAAATTGTCTGTTAACCGTCTAAAAAAAAAAAAAAAATTTTTTTTTTTGTCGAATTCTAAATAAAGTCAGGATGGAGCAATTAGTCGAAATGACTAAAATGCTGTGTACAAGCTTGCAACAGCAACAACAACAGCATCAAGAGTTACAACAACAGCAACAACAACAGCACCAAGAGTTAAAACAACAAATACTGCAACAGCAAAAAAGTCTCGAAAAAATTCTGAAACAGGCGACTGGAGAAAGAAAAAATGCTGTTTTTTCTGCCGAAGGAATAGCAAATTCATTATCCGAATTTATATATGAACCTGATTCGGGCATTACATTTCCAGCATACTTTACGTTTCGAAACTATATTTACCAAGAGATGTCAACATTGGTCGGATGAGGAACGAGTAACATTATTAGTCCAGAAACTAGGGACAAACGAGAATACGAAGTACTCAAACTTGATATTGCCCAGAAAGCCAGAAGAAGTTTCGTTTGAAGAAACTATAAGTATTCTGTCAAAAATATTTGACGAAAGGAATAGTCTGTTCCACACGCGGTACAGATGCCTAAACATCGTTAAAGCAGATAACGAGGATTTTCTGACATACGCGGGAACAGTGAACTCTCTGGTTGAACAATTCAAGTTAGAAGAAATTCCCAAAGATGTATTCAAGTGCCTAATTTTTCTTCAAGGACTAAATGATCCTAAATATAAAGAAATTAGGTCGAGAATATTAATAATGGTCGAGCAAGACTCGAAAATAACATTACAAAGGGTGACCAAAGAATGCCAACGTCTCATAAACGTAAAAAGGGATAATACACAAATTGAGGAAAAAAAGTGTTGCTAATGTTCGACACGTAAAAACTCAAAAACTCCAAAAGCCAAAAAAGATAGAAAAATGTGAGACGTGTGGAAAAAATAACCATACCAAAAACACGTGTTGGTACAAAAATAAATTCTGCCAATCGTGCGGAAATAAAAATCATACCAAAGACGTGTGTTGGTATAAAAATAAATTCTGCCAATCGTGCGGAAATAAAGGGCATAAATATTCGGTTTGCCGCAAGAAAAGGAAATTACAAGATGTAAGCCTGGTATTATCAGAAAAAGAAATTCAGAACGGTAAAAATAGAAAGTACGTAGATGTACGTATAAATAATCATACAATTACTTTCCTATTGGATTCTGGTTCAGACATAAGCATCATTGATGAACAAACATGGAAAAATATTGGAAGACCCAAATTATCTGAAACCAAAAAAAAAACCGCTAGAGGGGTTTCAGGAAAGAAATTAAACTTTAAGGGAGAATTAAAGTGCGATATTTCGTTATGTGGCAAGACTGCAAAAACGAAAGTGTATGTAATCCAAGGGATTAATTCATGTCTTTTTGGAGTAGACTGGATAGTACTCTTTGATTTGTTTGAACTCCCGATTAACTCATTTTGCAACGTAATAAACAGTGCAGAAAACAAAAAAGTATTAAAAATGAAAAATTCATGAATGAATTAAAAGAAAAATATCCCAGAGTTTTTTCTGGGGATTGGGTTTATGTACTAAGACGGAAGTCAAATTTGAACTCAAGGAAAATGTGAAACCAATTTTTAAACCTAAGAGAAACGTTCCTTTTTTTCCTCCTTAGACACAATTAATAAGGAATTGGAAAGGCTTGAAAAAATGGGAGTGATATCTAAGGTTGACCATGCGGATTGGGCCTCGCCCACAGTTTATGTTAAGAAGAAAACGGAAAAATAAGAGTGTGCGCAGATTTTTCAACAGGGTTAAATAATTGCCTTAAAAATCACAGTTATCCACTACCTTCACCAGAAGATATTTTTTCAAAGTTGAATGGTGGTAAGATTTTTTCAAAAATCGACTTGTCTGACGCATACTTGCAGATTAAAGTGAGTGACGAATGCTCAAAATATTTGTGTATAAATACACATAAAGGTATTTATAAGCTAAATAGGCTTCCTTTCGGCTTAAAGGTCGCCCCAGCTTTGTTCCAACAGGTGATGGACACTATACTGGCAGGCCTTGAGTTTGGTACCGCCTATTTAGATGACATTCTAGTCAAAAGTAAGAATGTTCAAGAACATAAAACGCACATCAGAGCGATATTCAAAAGACTAGAAGATTTTGGCTTTAAATTAAGCCACGAGAAGTGTAAATTCTTCATGGAAAGAATTACATACTTCGGACAGGTGATAGACAGTGAAGGCAGGAAACCGGACCCACAGAGAGCCGATGCAATTAAGAACATGCCTGCACCCGACACAGTTGCGAAACTACAATCATTTCTGGGGTTGGCACAATATTATGCAATCTACATACCTAAAATGTATGATTTAAGAGCCCCCCTTGACGAATTGTTGAAAAAAGACAAGAAATGGTTTTGGTCAAAAGATTGCGAAACGGCTTTTCAGAAAATAAAAAAAATGCCTACTCTCAGATCTCGCCTTAGCACATTATGATCCTGAGAAAGAGATCATTCTGGCAACTGACGCAAGTTTGTACGGAGTGGGTGCTGCACAACTAAACCGATCGCGCACGCGTCGAGGACTCTTCTTCCGGCTGAAAAAAATTATAGCCAGATCGAGAAAGAGGCTTTGTCGATTGTGTTCAGGGTTAAAAACTACCATCGCTTTTTACATGGTAGATCATTTGTACTTCAAGCGGACCATAAACCGTTACTTACAATATTTGAGGTAAAAAGGCATTCCTACGCATACAGCTAATCGCTTACAGCGATGGGGTGTAACCCTGCTTAATTACCATTTTAGGATGGAATACGTCAAATCTAAAGAACATGGGCATGCGGATGGACTGCCAAGGCTGATTCCAAAAAATGAAGAAATTTTAGAAGAGACGGTTATAGCAGCATTAACTGAGGAAAAGAAATATCAGGTCTCTTGTTGAATACAATCAGGAATTGCCGGTAACTTTGGACCAAATAAAAAAAGAAGCGGAAAAAATCACTATATTGTGAAATTAAGGAACCAGACGAGATGGAACAAAAAAAGACAGAAAAAGGGAACTCAGATTTCACCTTTTTCAATTTGCGACAACACGTTGATGTACGCAGATAGAATTGTTATACCTCAATCTCTACGTACAGATATGCTGAAAGAATTTCATACCGGTCATCCTGGAATGTCTCGGATGAAATCACTCATGCGTGGTTACGTATACTGGCCAGGAATGGACAAGGATATTGAAGGTTTTGTAAGACTATGTAGAGGTTGTCAATTGGCTGCAAGGGCACCTCCGGTCAAAATGAATCCTTGGCCGAAAACGGATTTGCCGTGGGCACGTCTACATATAGACTATGCTGGACCAATTAATGGGTACTATTATTTGATATTGGTGGACTCTTTATCGAAATGGCCTGAGGTAGTCAAGTGCAAGCATCCTACATCTAGGAACACCATCAGTGCATTGGATGAAATTTTCAATCGTTTCGGGGTTCCCAGGACATTGGTTAGCGACAATGGTACGGCGTTCACAAGTATGGAGTTTAAGGATTTCTGTACTGCCTTAGACATTGAACACATAACTACACCAGTGTGTCATCCCAGGTCGAATGGTCAAGCCGAGAAATTTGTTGACACTTTTAAACGTGCTTTACGTAAAAATAAAGGTATGGACACGGAAGAAAGAACTATTCAGAAGTTCTTAGCAATCTATAGGGTAACTCCTAATGAGAACAACGATGCGAAAATGTCACCGGCGGAAATTATGTTCGCAAGGAAAATTAGATCAATTTTCGATAGATTGTTACCCTATCAAAACAAAAAAGTTGCTAAGAAAGAGAAAAAGTCAACATAAAAAAATACACTTCAGGAGACAGTTTTTTTTTTTAAATTTTAAAAGTGGAAAAAGCTATTGGATGGATGGCATAATCCAGAAAAGGATTGGTAAAGTGGTCTACACGATTAAAAGTAAAAAATTTACGTGTAAAAGACACATCAATCAGATTAGACCACGATATGTTGAAGAAAGTGAAAAAAGCGAAGAAGAAATTCCGATGGAAGTGTTATGCGATGCTTTTAACATGACACTACCCAATTGTGTATATGGACCTGTATCTCATGGACCAGCCTTACGGTCTGAAAAGCGGAAATTATCTTCGCCAAAAAAGGATCTAATTGTGACGACTAAAAGAAGGAACACACGGGAAAGAAAACCAGTGGAGCGTTTTAGTCCGGATCCAAAAGAAGACGACATTAGAAGCAGAAATTTTCAAAAGGAGAATTTCAGCTTCGGGGGGGAGGTGTTTGTTGATGATGAGATAACCCAACTTCCCCATTCACGATAAATGGACTGGTTGCCGATTACGACCACAGCGGACAGTCGAAAGTCTTCGTTTGTTAACACCATTGAGGTTAGCATAACTCTGTCTCTTGACACACCTACATCCGATTATAAACCTATTATTATTGAAAACCAACACTCGGGTTACTTTGTTTATTATATCTTGCACGAGATATAACACAGAGAAAAAATATCACTTTTTTAGAATGTAGTGAAATAAATATCAATTTTTTTAATATACAGAAAGAAATATCACCTTTTAGAATCTTCAGTAACATATACCACTTATTAGAATCTAGAGAAAAAAATATCACTTTCTTTAGAATAGCGATTTTCCAAGCGTAGCTCGGATGTGGCACAAGGCCGATAGTATGGGGCACCCAGTGAGAATCGAACTCACTACTCAGTCGTAATTGTTCTAGCGAGACAAGCTTGCTAACCATTACACCACCTCGAGGTGCCCAACTTTCTTTAGAATATACAGAAAGAAATATTACCTTCTTTTAGAATCTAGTGAAAGATATATCAGTTTTTTAGAAAGTAGAGGAGATAATGAGTGCAAGCATGTCCTCAATCAATTCAAAGTCCTGATGTCTACACTAGATAAGGTTGAATGTGTTGCTCAGAAATTCTTTTCTGAACACTCAACTTATTTGGAGTATTCACACCAGATTTCCCCACTAGAATAGAGGCCCTACTGATTGATATGTGCATAACCCCACCACTTGTTGCAGACATCATTTCTAAATTAGACTCCTATAAGGCAAATGGAGGGGACAGGACCCCAGCCATCGACTTAAAGAAATGTGCCTCCAAGCTGGTTCCATTTCTCTCCAAACTCTACAATTATTGCCTCATTGTTTCCTGCTTTCCAGCTTGTTGGAAGTCCTTCTCTGTAGTTCCTGTTTTTAAGAACTCTGGAGAACCTTCTGACTCCTCTATCACCTTATTAGTCTCTTACCACTTTTCAGCAAAGTATTTGAGTCTTTAATCAATGCAGAAGTGGTTAAGCTTCTTACCTCTCATGACCTACTCTCTGACAATATGATTTCCTTTTTGCCAGGTCTACTGCTGATGTCCTAACATCACTGAATATGTATATCAAGTGCTTGATAATAACAGCAATGCTCAAGCTGTGGGTCTAGATATCTCAAAGGTGTTTGACAAGGTTTGGCATGCTGGTCTTCTATGTAAGCTCCTGGGCTACAGTATTACAGGATGATTGTTTGATTTAATCCAATTATTCTTATCAAATCATGAAATGAATGTTGTTTTGAATGGGTTCACTTCCAGATCCTTTCACACAATCAGGGGTGTGTCTCCCAAAGCTCTATCCTGGGTCCTACGCTGTTTCTGATCTTCATCAATGATCTTCCTGATGTCCTCAGTTCCCAAGTAGGCATTTACGTACATGACACTACCATTTACTCCTGTCTCAGTAGAAAATTTGTCAGAGCTGACAAAGTTAACGCTGCTCTTGAAAAGGACCTCTAATCAGTGGTTAACTGTTCTCATTTAATGATCATAGAGAAACTTTCCTGCTCGCCATCAGTATGGATGATGCAAGACTCCTAGAGAACACATTACACCTTCTTGGCCGAACATTTTCGACTGACATGAAGTGAAATGACTTGAATTGAATCAAAAGCTGCATCTACTGCAAGGAAAGTTGTGTCACTGTGTTGTGCTAGAAAGATTTTCTCATTAGAGTCCATCTTGCCCATTTACAAATCTACCATTTGTCCATACATTGAATAATGTTGCCATATCTGATCTGGTGTTATTTGTCTCAAGGTTCTTGACAAAATCCAAAGAAGGATCTGTAATCAATCCTGACTTGGCATCTCAACTTCAATCACTTTCTCATTGATAGGTTTCCCTCTGTATTTTCAACAAATATTTTCATGGTAACTGCTTTAACAAACTTTTTTCCCTGGTGTACTGACAACATGAATTTAATCATGCTACTAGATTGGCATCTGGGTCCCACCCTTTTACTGTTAAAATAGTTATTGTAATTGCCACTTCTACTCCAACAGTTTCTTTTTTACACACTTCCAGTCTGTGGAACTCCCTCCCATTTACTTGCTTCCCTGATAACTACAATTTTCAGAAATATAAATCAAATGTCAATGGCCACTTCTATCTTCTTGAATCCCAATCATCTTTTATCCTTTCCTCAATCCCCACTAGACCTAGTCTTTTCTCTCATTTTCACTCTCTGTAACCACCTGCATACTAGTGGCATTCCTGCCTTGCTTGGGATAGTGAAATGTTTAAAAAATGAGAAAAAAAGAAATATCACATTTTTTAGAATCTAGAGAAAGAAATATCATTTTCTTAAGAAAATAGAGAAAGAAATTATTTTTCAGAATCTAGAAAAAGAAATATCACTTTTTTTCAGAAAGGACTATCACATTTTTAAGAAAATAGAGAAAGAAATCAATTTTTCCAAATCTAGTGAAAGAAATATCAGTTTTTTAGAAAGTGGAGGAAGAAATATTATTTTTTTTAATAATATAGAGAAAGTAATATCATTTTTTAGAATCTAGGGAAAAATTTCACATTTTCTAGAATATGCAGAAAGAAAAAACAATTTTTCAGAATCTAGAGAAAGAAATATGATGGTTGTTAGAATCTGGGGAAAGAATTATCACTTTTCATAATATAGAGAATGAAATATAATGTTTTTTAGAATCTAGAGAAAGAAATCAATTTTTCAGAGTATAAAGAAAGAAATATCACTTTTTCAGAATGCAAAGGAAAAAACATCATTTTTTATAATCTAGAGAAAGAAATACCATATCTTAAATCTAGAGAAAAAAAATGTCACCTTTTCAGAATCTAGAGAAAGAAATATCACTTTTTTTAGAATCTGGAGAAAGAAATTTAATTTTTTTATAATCTAGAGAAAGAAATATCACCTTTGTTAGAATCTAGTGAAGAAATACCACTTTTTTAAGAATCTTTTCATGACTTTTATATAAAAAGATGAAAATCAACTGAACATTTACATAGATTTACTTACTTTTTTATAAAACTCACCAAATTACCCATGCCTTGCTGCATGTCACACATTTTTTGTAAGAAAATGATTTTAAATCATTGTTATAATCTATGGAGAAAAAGGATGTATTTCAGTATTACTCAATGATCTTGCTGATGTGACCTCCATTTTCTGGCATTCTCCTTCTATATTTTGGATAGGAGTCATTCCCTTGTTCAAATTTAAATTTAATTTAAATCAAAGGGAAAAAGATTTCAGTGGGGCTGGGTATGCAAAAACAGCTTGAACTGACTCCTTTCATATGTATTTGATGCAATACCACTGAATGAATTGATGAGCAGATTTCAATATTGATATGACAGCTAAATTGTCAAAATAAATATGTATTGTCAGGGACTACCCACTGATTGGTGATTTCTTACTCAACTTGACATCTATATAGTCTCATTCTGATCTTGCCAATGTGACCTCCATCTTCTGGCTTTCTCCTTCTATATTTTGGATAAGAGTCATTCCCTTGTTCAAATTTAAATTTAATTTAAATCAAAAAGGAAAAAATCAGTTGAAGCGGGTGGTGCTTACCCTGAGGACTCCCTTTGATCAAAATGAAATATTCTTATACAAGTACCCTGGGTAATGTAGTTTAAGAACATACATGATTATGGGGGTCTATCTCCAAAAACATGAAGGAGTTTGATAACGGGCAGACAGAGGTTACAGCTTCATTTACAGTGGGGGAAAACAAAAATTTGTACACAAACAAATTTATAATTCATTGTATTTCCAACAAACAAATAAACATACTTTTCATATAATTAACTGTACACAGATGCATAATAACTAAATATGCATAGAAAACAGAAAAAATTGATTTAATAGAAATAAATCCCGTTTATTTATTTTAATGGGTGAAAAAAGTTGTACAAGACAAAAAAGAGTACATCTTCATTTAATACTTTGTAGAATAACCATTATTCACTTCTACAGCAGCCAACGTCTTCTTGTAGTTCTCAATTGATGATTTTCAAATTGTGTGTTTGAAGAAAGTTGAAATAAAAATACTTACTTACTGTATAAACAACTTGCATTTTAAAATCTTATTCACTTAAAATATTTTAAAATCAGACTAACTTAAAAATATTTTTTAACATGCCAAAAGATATTAAATCATATTCACTTGAAAATATTTTTTAAATATGCCAAGAAATATTTTTTAAATATTTAAAATATTGTTGTTTTAAAGAAAGCTGAAATATAAATAAGCATGCATGCAATCACAGAAAGGTGGAAAGAGGGAAAGATGGAGAGATGGAAAGAGGAAGAGGTGGAAAGTCAGAGGTGGAAAGAGAGGGTATTTTTTTTTCTTTTGGTCTCACTGTCAATTCATTTCCTTCTCTCTCCCGCTTCCTACGCGATAAGAAATTCACATCTTTCTTTCCCCCACTCTCTATATATGACTTCATGTGCACGGTAGCAAACACACAAGCATGCAAGCAAGCAAGCAAGCAAAGTTCAGTGTTTTATAGTAATAAAAATGGTGAAAACAACTGCACATTAACTTACTTAAATTACTTTTATATACAATGATAATCATCTGTAAATTTACTTAGATTATCTCCTTTTTATATAAAAAGATGAAAATCAGCTGTACATTTACATAAATTTCCTTTTTTATATAAGAAGATGAAAGTCATTTGTACATTTACATAGATTAACTTGCATTTATATAAAAAGAGGAATATCAGTTGTATATTTTCTTAGGTCTTGTTTTATATAAAAATCAGCAGTACATTTAGTTAGATCATCTTTTTTATATATAAAAAGATAAAAATCATCTGCATATATTTGATTTATATTCAAATCATATATATATATATATATATATATATATATATATATATTTGAT